TTAATAGAGATGGTTTCACCATATTGGCCAGGATGGTCTCAATCTCCTGACCTCGTCATTGGCCCATCTTGGCCTCCCAAAGTGCTGGGGTTATGGGCGTGAGCCACCGCTCCTGGCTGATTCTTTTAGTTTTTTTAACTAGCCCTGGAAGCCCCTTCCGTGCCACTTTTAGGAATCCTCCTTCCCTTCAGAAGGTGGCTGCAGTGCCACCCTTCACCAGAAGATGCCTCCATCACACCATCTCTCTCCCTGGTAACTGGAAACTTGAAATTCAGTAAAAGCCAGTGCTCTGCATTTTAATCAACTCTCAAACTGATAACAATCTGTGCTGGAAAGGACATGGGACATAGGCACCCAATTCCAAAACCAGTAGAGATATTAACTGCCCTCCAGAAAAGATGAATCTGGCATACAGTATGTATCATACCCAAAAACCTTGTAGATTGCTCTGTATACTGAGACCCTGCAATTCTACTTCTACAGCATTATCCTAGGGTACTAGGATAGTTACATAAAAACATGTAATGAAGGAGATAGCACAGAGTTATTACAGTGGAGTTCTAGGTAGCCGGTTCTGAAGTGTGTGTGTGTGCCTGTGAGAGTAAATAAAATCTTCAGTGAAAGAGATCTTCAAGAAGAGGCAATAGACCTCTAGATCTAGAATGCTTGACTTTGAATCCCAGCTTTTTAAATTATTAGTTGTGTGAACTTAAATAAATTACTTAACATTTCTGTGCTTGGGATAATGATGTGTATCCCAGATTACAGATTAATGAGATTAGATATTCACAGAACTGTATATGATTTGTTGTATGAAGTCTGGAAGGATACAGAATAGCATGTAGTTTGAGTCCACTTTTGTAGGAGAAAATGTACATAGCTATACATAGACTTCTATCAAAACCTACAAGGCTATATGCCAAAATGTTAACAGCATTTATCTGTGGCTAGTGGCACTGACAAATTAGGTTTTAACAAATGCTTTTCTGTGTGTAGATTCGATTTTTCTTAACATTCAACATACATTGCTTTTATAATCAGAAAATAATTCTTACCAGCTGCTGTCAGGAGAAGAAGAAAAAGATAATTCTACCTAAAATTAACTCTTAAGGTTGGGCAGTTGGAGCAGTGTTTAATCCTGTAAATGTAGCTTCATAAGATCTGATCCTATATTAAAGTTTAAATGTAGCTTCTATAAAACCTGGCCCTGTATGGAACCAGAGCTGAAGAGCTTGACTGGGGATCAAACACTGCAACTTGATTCAAGTCCCTTCATTAGGAGGAAAGTTCTCCAGGTGAACTGCCAACTTCCGCTGCAAGGCCCTGAGAACAACTTGAAACTGACAGTGTTGCTGGGTTCCTTCCTGCCCAACTGAATGCCAAAGCTGTGGGAGCTTACCTGCAGTTTACTTCTTGAGGCCCAAGTCCTAAGAGACAACTTAAGTGCCTGCTGTGGATATGAACAGGCCTGGGTCAGAGCTTCACCTCCCACACACACCTAAGTATTTTTGGACAAGTCACTTAACCTCATGTGAGGCTATTACCATAGCTGTATAAAATGAGGAAAGAACTACTTTTGATTATTGAGAAGTCAAAAGATCCAGTTTGTGGCAAATGACACAGTAATGCACTATGAATTATTTTCCCTCTCTGGGCCTCAGTTTTCTCACCTTTAAAATGGGGGAAATTAGTACTTTATAAGGTTATGGGTATTAAACTAGGAAAAGACAAGATTAAGTCTTCAATAAATGACATGCTTTTTTACTAAGCATCATCTCCCTGTACCAAGAGCACTCCTCTTGCTCCCAAGAATAGCCAAGGCCATTTTTTTTTCTTAGGAGAAAGGGTAGGGCTAGAGGTCTCCCCCTAGGATCCAACTCCAGAACTCTGCAGAGATGGGCCTGCATCCCAAGGCCTCTGAGACCTCAGTCTGCACACTCTGTTCTTTCGCCTGATGCTCCACCTTTTGGAAGCCAAAGCTGCCAGCTTGGCCTCTTGCAAAACACACATTCCATTCATAAGTGCGTTTGTGCATTTTTCCTCCCACACCCTTCTAGGCAGCCAGCACAGAGCTGCCAAGGCGGCTGCTGGAGAAGCAGCTTCTTACAGGAGAAAAGCAACTCCAAGGGCTTTTACACAATTCATGTTTAGGCTTTGAACACATTACTCCCATTTTCTGGTCTCTTTGCCCATAGTGGGATTGTTCATTTTTGTCTCCCTTTTTGTAAATAACCTCTTCCCTATTATAAAGGAAACCTATTAATGAAAATTTGAAAAATACAGAAAAATTTAAATCACAACTGATCCCACCATCCAGAGTCAATGATTGCCAATATTTTATGACAATTCTATTTTTCCATGATAGAAACTTATTATTCAAAAGCAGTTTTAATAGCTGTATAATATTCTAGCATTGATGCATGCCATAATTTCTAAAACAGTCCCTTTTGACATTGAAGTTGTTCCCAAATGATGCTGCCAATGATATCCTTGCACATACATCCTTGGCAGCTTTCTTTTAGGAAAAGTTTGTAAGTGAAATTATTGGCTTAAAGAGTATGAATACATGCTTTTAATTCAAAAAAGGCTTTTGCTGTTTACTAGCATAGATTTCAAATTTTTGCCAATTTAAGTTTTTCATTGTATATTTAATGTCTGTTTATTTGAAAATGCATTAGATTGACAACCTGCTTTTTTTCCCAGAAGGTTTTTGGTCAATTATTTTTCCTAAGTGAGTTGTGCATATCCTTTCCCATTTTTCTGTGGGGAAGCCAGGTACTTTTCCATACTGAAGTTTTAAGAGCATCTTATGGATTCACTATACTGTCCATTTATAAACTATTACAAATTTTAGTTTGCTTTTTTTTTTTTTTTTTTTTTTAATGGAGTCTCACTGTCACCCAGGCTGGAGTGCAGTGGCGCAATCTTGGCTCACTGCAACCTCCACACCCCAGGCTCAAGCAATTCTCCTGCCTCAACCTCCCAAGTAGCTGGGATTACAGGCACCTGCCACCACACCTAACTTTTGTATTTTTATTAGAGACAGGGCTTCACCACGTTGGCCAGGATGGTCTCGAATTCCTGACCTCATGTGATCTGCCCGCCTTAGCCTCCCAAAGTGCTGGGATTACAGGCGTGAGCCACCGTGCCTGGCTGTTTGCTTTTTAAGGTACATCATTTTATGTTTAGTCTTTTGTGATTTCTTCTATTTGCTTTTATGCTTAGAAAGTCCTGACTGCTTCTGTCTGCTTCTGTCCAAAAAAAAAAAAAAAAAAAAAGTCCTGACAGATCTCTGGATACAATGACAAGTTTATGTATTTCTAATGATTTAATTTCTATACTTCATAGCCTTATTTTTCTTGGATCTTATTTTGGCATATAATAACTTTCTCCCAAATATTTAGGTAAGTTTACCCAATTACCTATCTTTACTTACCCAATAAAGGAGGATGCTCCTTTATCATATAAGTCCATGTGTATACTAGGGCCAGTATACGTGTTTTCTTCTGTCTTGTTCATGTAGTGGTTCCACACTATTGTGTAGCTCTATAATATACTAACAGTTTTAGCAGCACCACCCCAGATAAGCACAGGGCCCATGGAGAGTCCCCATCAGCATGGATTACAAAACACTGTAGAGTTAAGATGCTTTGCTGCTGACTGCACTGGTGCTGCTACATTCCACCAGGACTTTTTCAGCACCTGAGTCAAGAGACGGGATAAGGGCCAGAACACTGAACAGAATGTTAAACTCAGGTAGGAGCCTTATGGTTTTAAGATAGGGCATCCTCAGAAGTCAACATAAAGGAAGGGAAATGGAGAGGTTAGGCAAGCTCCCTAATCTTATCAGGCAGACTAACCCTTTTTGACCTACGTCAAAACTCAGCTAGAAGGATGACTTCCAGAGCCAACCTAGCCATGTGCTTCAGCAACTGGATTTGAAAGGAGGGAAGAAGCCAGTACTGCAGCTCTTCCATACTCCTCAGACCTTCAGCACTACTTTCAGTGCACCTTTCTTGCTACAAAGCATTCCACATGCAGTTAAGTTCATCTGGTAACTAAGTGAAGTTGTTTGCCCATCATCGAATTGAAAATTGGATTTCAGCTGTATATAATCTATACAGCCTGTGACAGCACTTTGAATAGCCCAGGCTCTATACAAGCCCCCAAATCAGTAACCTTCAACTTTATTCTCCAAACCTGTTTGTAAGGCTCTGGTGGGCTCCGTAACTCAGAAATGCCAAAGCACAGAAGAAACAAGCACAAGAGCCAACTGGGGAATGTTTTCGAGGTATACTTTTTTTTTTCCTGTTTTTCTTCCAATTAACTGCATTAGTCTGTTTTCATAGGAGGTATACTTTTTAAGTGAGGAAAACGTTACCCCTTAGATTTCCTTCCAGCCCCTACCTGGTCCTATCCTAAATAATGAGGGAGAAAGAGAAAATAAAGAATTCTAGTTCACTGACAAAATCGCAGAAACCTCTCCCTAATTAGAGAATATATACATGAATTCCAGAGCGTTTGCAACTGAAAAGAAAAAGAACATCTACTCCCACCACCATACTTACTTTTACAAGGTACCAACATGAGGCTGGCAATCTTCGGGGAGGCCATCAGGGCCTCCATGAAAGAAATGTATAAGATGGCCAGTCAAGAGCTTTCCTGAATGTAAACAATAACTAGACAGAACATACAATGGAAGGAAGCTAAGGGTCGTAAGTGGTCTAATCATGCGTGTAGAGTGTTAAGAGGCAGATGAGAATTCCCAGGGATCTGAGCTTCTTCCCCTATCCCCAGTTTGGCACAGAGGAACTGTGACTTAATGAAAGATCATGTATGACCGTGCTAACCCCCCTCTCCTATTTTCTGGTTTCTCTGCATCACTCACCTAACATTCCTTTGGAGAACCTTAAAAGAGTTTGTAATGTTTGAGCACTTATGTGTCTTAGGGACTTTATCAACGCTTTTAAACGCTCTGATGGAAGCAAGAGCTTTTTTTAAATTTTACAGATAAGTAAAAGGAAACTTAGAGGTTCACTAACTTGCCAAAGGTCAGATAGCAGTGGCACTCGACAGTTAAAGCTAGACACAGCTTGTTTCCTTTGCCTTACTCACTGCGATACTGTTAAATCTACGGATCACACATTTAATATAGTACTCAACTTCACTTTTTATTCCTCATGAGAATTCACATCAGTTGCTAAGGTAAGACTATTTAGGCAGTGGCTCTGTGAAGACTTACTTTCTCATTGCCTCTAAGCACTGAGACCCCTAAAAGCCACTCTATTAAGTTTGGTATGTGGGAGGTCAACACTCATGTTTGGAGTCTGAGAATCCTATACTTATCTGGATTATTTTTCAAAGAATAAAAATTGTTACTGAATATCATGTTGGCAGAAGCTCCCAGTGGGTAAATTTTGCCCCAGAATAAAGTCACCTTTTTTTTTTTTTTTTTTTTTTAGAAATATCAATAATCAAGTAAACAAATTTATTAAATCCAACAGCAGGTAACCTTCCAAATAAAAAACATTAAAGGAAAAATGTAGACATCAAAGACAAAAATGTGTGTAACAAGTCAATAAAAATACTCAAGGGGCCATCTGGAGAGTGCAACAGTGCAGCAAATACAAACAAAAGTATTAACTTTTGTCAAGTTTGTACAACCTCAACAAATAGACACACTGGTCACAAACCAAGAGGGATTCACAAAGGTGGAGGGTCACATGAGCAGTGGACTCATCACCTCAGCGGCTTAAGGCAGGGTATATCTGTGGGACCAATTCATCTAAGCCCCATTTGCCTATTGCTTTACATTCCCCCTTTAAAACCTAGAGTCAAAAAACAAAAACAAAAAAAAAACAACAAAAACGAATCATATTCATTAGTGCAACAGGTAAGAGCAATTAATCACAGACAGGGCTGGGGAGCAGGGTCAGAGGGAAGACACTTCTCCCAGAGCAAATGTTTGCATGTCAGTGGGGATAAAAAACCGCAGCAGCTGCTGAATGGCTTCCTTTGGCAATATCCAAGATTTGTGTTGAAAGGAGCAGGGAAGTTAGATGGGTGGTGGAAGTAGGTATGTATGAGATAGGCTGGGTTTCCAAGAAGAATAGGGACAACATAATGCCCAGCACCTGAATCAGAAGCAGAAACCAATGGTTATGCAAAGCTATTTAAACTATTTTGCTTCTGGAACCAGTGCTCAAGAATCTATTTTGTCTTTTGAAAAGGGGGAAAACCCCTGCTGATCCTCACCAACATGCAGTTCCAGTCCAGTTTAAACTGGATATGTAATTACAGCTTACCATGAGAATAAACTGAAGGGGGGGGTGGATGGGAACCTCCTTTATATGATCAGAAAACACACTGTGGAATGAAGAGGAGGACCAATGTCGCATTTCCTCAGTGAGTCCCAATTAACACAATTCAACAGCCTTAACAGTCCTTTCAGCTGTTTAAACAAGATACTGCTGGAGTCCTCCAAGGAAGACCTGTCATTTACCAAGATGTTCAAGTCCCCCAAGGAAGACCTTTGTCAGTTACCAAGATGCTCAAGTCATAGCCAACCAAACATGAGAGAAGAAAAATAGCAAAGCAGTCAAGTAAAAAGCAACAAAAACCTAGCAGCAGCTTCTTTCCATGCCTTACTTTATAATTGCATAATTGAATCTAACTTTTGGGCTTTGCTACACTGAAGACCTCATTTGGAATATGGCAAACCAAACACTCCTAAATAGTGTAAAAGTAATTGTGGTTTCTGCCTTACTGTTGCACCAACCTAAAAGCTCTGTTTTGGTTTGCAAACTTGTAGACAAGTTCTTACCCCAGTAACTTTCCACCACTGCTTAGTACAATTTGGCAGGGTATACAGTATATGAGGCCGTCAAGTGTACTATGAGGTCCCATATCCTACAGCCTCCAGCATTCGGGACTAAATTTTGGCACCAGCCCCTGGAGATCAATACTGCTTCAAAGACTAATACTCTGTGGCTTAATCCTTTCTTCCTTTCCAAAAGACTAGTTTGTGCCTTCCTTAGGAAGTTTAATATTGAAAACACTGTCTTGTGCATTTTCAATTGTTATTTTCCTGGGCCCGGAGGTTTGGTTAAAATTTAGATCTTCGCCCAGCTCTAGATCCGTCTTCCCTTATCAGAAGGGCAGACATGGGTTCCTGGACCCAACTCCCACAGGTGGGCAGCACTTCACCTGCTGAGACAACCAGCTGAAACACAGCGGAGGCTCTTACAGGAGGTGGGATTAGAATGATACATTCGGATTTGGCAAGGATCGGGGAAAGCACATGCAATGAAGCAGCACGTCATCTCATACCAGCTTTCTAATAAATTGCTAAGGAAACATCACAGAAGCTCACAGACAAAGCCATTTGTCAAAACCAAGTTCTTATTTCCCAACAGTTGTCACCCTCAGATGTTGCAAATTTCCAAAGTGGCATCCACATCCTGACCCTCTCCACATCACCCTAATGTTATATTGCTAAGCAAGGAGTGTACTAGCTTACCTGAGGGGCACGCATTCGGTCTCTTACACAGACTTACTGCTCACTCATTAAGTGGCAAACCTATTTCTAGGTTGAAAGGAACAAGGCTTTTAATTTCCCAGAAGTATAACTTCAAACCCTACACACACCTCACCTTGGATCCCTTTGCAGAAAAAACTGCATTTCTTGTCATGAAAGCATTGGCCCAGAGCTACTGCAGAAGCTTGAAATCTTTGCCGAGTAAAAAGTACTCAAACTTGGAAGGAACTTGTAAGTCCCTCCCTGACTGCTCCCTTTTCTGGCTTCTCATTTGCAAATGGATTAATATAACCAAAAAAATAACTAAATGGCTTTTGTGGTGGGGGAATGAGGAAGCTAAATAGTTAATTTAAAAAAAAAACAAAATCCACCCACTCTTAGTATACCTAATGCACGGAATGTCTTCTTACAGGATGGGGAAGGAACCTAGTTTCTCCAGAGTATTCAGGGCCCTGGGCTGCCTCCCTCTTCTGCATGCGTCTCTCTGATACACCCTGATCTGGGATGGAAAGGGCCTTACCTGGCCAAGAGCAGCCTGCCTTTTCCCTCAGTCAACCACTACTCAGTCCAGAACCAGAAAAAATGAGTTGCAAACTGGCTCAATAAAAAAGCGTCCATTTTAAAACCTCAGTCTGGGTACCCCAGCTACAGCGGATCCTACAGAACCTGCTGGGACCCCTGGAGACTCATTCAGGATTCTTATTTAGCTAGAGCAGAAGCCAGGCCCGACCCCCTTCAGCTTTCTGGCAATACTGTACCGTAGATGATCTTAAAGTTTCCCATTTGCCCCTCTGAAAGAGGAACTGTCAGGTTTAGGCTTAAAAAAATTCCAAGAATGTTCCCTATTGTCAATACCAATTTTAGAAAAATACTGCCAAAACTCTTTAATAATCCTTAAGATGGGAGCCCAGAGCTGTAAGGCTACTCACAATGGAACTCAAAACATGCAATTCCTGCCCAGGCTGAGAAACATTCCTGGGAGGTAGAGGGGTATTCATTAGGGCAGAAACCTCCAAATGTTTAATAGACAAAGTTTCATTACCTCAAGAGTATAAAATATTCTTATAAGTTTTTATTTAAAAGATTCCCTTTTTAATCTGTTCCAAAGTGTTGGAAGCTGAACTATACAAGTTCCTGCCACCCATCCTTCCAGTACAGTTTTCTGAGGACATACTTTTTAAATGGAGAAATTAACGGGAGGACCCTCTAACTGAAACTGGGTAGGACCAAGGTCAGCTCCTCAGGCCCCTGTGGCAGTCTGGCCAAAGCTGGCCTTATGGAGCGGGCGCGTGGAGAAGTCTGGGGAACCAGGCCCTCCCTCTTGTGAGGAAAGGGCTAAGCAAACTCCTCTTTAGTGAAAATGGTCCAAATTCAGATCCCAAAGCCTCCATTATGGCATTCCCTGGCACTCTTATACTTTATATATTGAAGGCAGCTCCCTCTTTTATGGCCAGTTTAAATAGGCAAAGAAACAAAGGAATATAGATACATATATGTGTATATATATATATTTTATATAGGTAAAATATATACATATTTTATATATGTATATATACATATTTAGGGGTAGGGAAAGGAGAGGAGGGTCATGTAAACCTAAACAGTCATCACATTACCCCAACTGAGCCTGACTTTAACAAAAAGATAATAAATAACTCCTGGGGGTTAAGTGACAACATGGGTGCAGCAAGAAGGGAAAGGGCACAAATTTAACTATTAAATACACTTTGATATTTGTTTGGCAGAGTTCAGGCCAACCCCAGGCTTCTGCCCTTGCCAGACAAGTAAGCTGATGATACTCAAAGAAAAAACTAAACTAAAAAAAAAAAAAAAAAAATTAAATTCAAGCAGAGCTCCATACCACAGTTTTCTTTCAAGTCAGCTGGCCGGCAGGCAGTTTCCCGACCACCAGGAACAGAAACTTTGGCTCCAAGGCAAATGAAACAAACAAACAAAAAAAAGTATTTCCACTTACAACATGAAAATACAGAAACTTCATCAAAGAAAGAAAACTATCAAAGAAGTCTACTTCCAGCAAAACTGAGGTAGCACTGCTTTCTCTGCATTCAATGCTTAAGTGGTTCTCAGTACAACGTGTTCTTAAAAAATGCTCACTTGACTGACAGGTGCAGCATGTTGATGGATAAACTCAACATGAAATGCAATAGGTCAAAGAAGGAATGAGCAAGAAGTGAGGGAAATACGGGTTCTGGATAAATTAGCTTAAAGGGGGGTTGTCACCAGACTACAAATGCTCTTGGCTGGCCATGGCTCTCCAAGAGCTCTAAATTGCCTGGTAATTAATGCAATGTGGCTAACAGTTAACACTGCTATTCAAATCTGTGTAAATCTTTAAAAATAATTATTACAACCTAAATTCAACCATGTAAACAGCACTACACACAGTACAGACCTGCCCTGAAAAACAATATGCAAAACTGAGATCTGGCACTGTATCATTTTGTAATGTTAATTCAACCTAACAGTCCCATCCCCCCTCCCTGTTCTAACCCCTCCCCCACACAAAAATAATCTAATTTGTGCAAGAAATGGCAGGCTTATTCTATCTGAAGGCTTCAAAAAAAGATACACAACATGTAGCCAGGTTCAAATATTTTGGGAGATCTCCCCCCCAAAAAATAACCAAAATAACCAAAAAATGAAGAAAGTGCCTAAAACATGATACAGCATTTTAGAGCCCTTTCAGATACAAGGCAGAGAAAGGTGTAAAGTAGAAAATATCCGGATCTTCAGTAATTTCCAAAAAGGTCCAATTCCTCGGTTGGCTGCAGGGCAGCGGGCAGATCCTTGCTGCTGCTCCTGGGACAGAGCCACTAAGTCTGCTCCTCGGGACACAAGCCCTCGGGCCCTGAGCTGAGTGCACCTCTCCCTTCCCCTTCTCTTTTCCTTCGCTCCATTTCCCACTCCACAAAGGTGTCAAAGAGACTTGGCCAGGCCTCATCTTCACTATAGTTGCTGAGGTCAGGGCCAATCACCTGAGTGAAGTTAAGGAACATGTTCCAAGTGTCCCTGGAGATGCCCTTGATCCCCGAGGGGTTCTCTGTTAGGAAGTTTAGCCATTGGTCCAATACCGGAGGATTGTTCTGGGTAAAGACTAGTTTCCACAGGGCAATGGCTATTTCCCGATGCAGTGACCGCTGCCCTTCTTCAGAGTCCAGGCCAAACTGAAATGTAAACCGGTAGAGATCCTTGAATTTATCCTCTTGTTTGGCTTCTGTTAAGAGGCTAGGGAACCGTGCACAGATTCCGTCAATGCTGTCTGCACTTATTGCTTTGCAGCCATCAAAAAACTCCTTCCTGCAACAGAAAGAAGAAAGTACAATTAATAATTACAAACGATACCATTTACTGAGAGGTAATACAGCATAGTAATTAAGAGTAGGGCTTTCTGCCAGATGGTCTGGATTTGAACTCCTCCAACTAATTAGTCTTATTTCCTTATTTGTCAAATGGTAAAAACACCACCTTCATAGGGTTTTGGTGAGGACTAAACAAATTAATACTCTGCTGCTAACAGTGCCTGGCACATGGTGGGCAGCTGATAATGGTTCATTTATTCATTCATTCATCTTCCCAAAGCTAAAATCAAGTCTCCTGCTCCCTCCCTTGTTTCCCTCTCTGCAATAGCAATTAAGCTGTGGATTCTTTCTGCTTCCAGAGGAGGAGGCTTCCTGCTTCCCTTCTGATTCTCTATGGGTTGTTTGTTTGAGGTATATTTTTAGTGATTGCCAAGGGAGACTTCTGGAGCCAAGGATTCTGAACCTGGGTAATTCTACCACCAGAGGTCAAAATTCTAATGTTAAAAAACAAAAATTATGTATGTATTTTTAACATCTATACAACCCTTTCAGCATGGTCTCACATTGCTCATCTTCTCAGGGACTGCAGTACCTGCTGCAGAGCTGAGGCCTCTGAGGTCTGGAGGGTAACCTGTCTGGGGTGGGGGGCATGCAAACTAGAAATTGTACGGCTAGGTCTCAAAGCTGGTTCTTATTCATAACCCCATGCTCTACAAACCACATTTTATAGGGACACATGACTAGAACAATATGCACAGCTACTGCTTAGTAACTGGGGCCAACTGACCTTGTTACACACAGGCCTGGCTGAGGGCAGGCAATATGCTAAGAACTAGAAAGGGCAAGTGGCTTCATGGAGGAAGAGAGGCATATCCCAAAGGCACTTACTGTATTGGCACTCACAGTGCCTGCCACATGCTGGGCATACAATAAATATGGAGTGAGTGAACTGACACATAAAGGAATAAAAGAAAAGAAAGGTCCAAGACAGCAGTAGGGCTGAGTGACAACTTGGCGACCTGGCTCATCCTGGCTTATTCTTCATTTAAGGCAAAGATGAGCCGTGCTCAGTTACTCAGAAGCTGCCTAATAATGCTAGGATAGGCCTGAAATTTGACCTACAAATTAGGCAAAGGCATTGTTCTGGAAAAAAAAAAAAAATGTGGTCCACATTAGAACCAGACAAGAATCTTTATCAGAATGCAAATGCTTGGGCCTTCCCCACTGAGATTCCTATTCAGTAGGTCTGCAGAACCAGGTAGATACATTTTAAACCCCTAGAGTCCAGAGGGGCTTCTCTGGATCATAACCATGACTTGGCTCAAAACATTTAAGCTTTAGAGAACCTAGTCAGGAAAATAAAAACTCACCCAAAACCCTATGAAGCCAACCCAGTCCTATCCTAGCTGGGCACCACTGCCCGACAGTGTTCTCTTTCCTCCTTTGCTCGCCTGGTGACATAAAGTACTTGTGACTAACCTGGTAAATTTGCACATGGTTGCAGCCTGGAACTTCCAAGCTAAGAGCAGCACTCGAAATTCTGTGGGATCAACACATAGGTCATTGCAAAAGCGCTCCATCCCTTCCTCCAAAATTGCATCTTCCCGCTCATCCTTGTAGCGCCTGAACAGTTCTTCCAACCTCTGCAAGGAAGACTCCTCGGCATTGGACTTGGACTCCCTCCCAGCATCTCCCGAGGACATTGGCAGCTGGCAGGCCTCTGTGGCAGCCTCGGCCTTCTTGGTCCCATTGACGAGGATATCTCCACCTGGCTTGCCACAGGGTGGTACCTGCTCCTCACGGTGGCCTGCACCCCGCCTGCTGTGTGACTTGTTGCTGGGGTCACGGTCTCCATTCTTGCTGCCCAGAGTCGATGAGGGATTCTTGCACTTGGTGACACACTGGCCCATGGTGCTGGTGGCCCAGCCTCTAGAGTGGCCCCCTTTGGATCGGATGCCCTCGCTGCCACTGGCCCATGTACCTCAACATGCCATCAGCCAGAGGAGCCAGCCAACCTGGAAGGAAATTAGAAAGCCGTCACTTCTGGGCAGGGGAAATGGGGAAGGTAGGTCCATACCCTACCTTCTAGGGACTGTGCACTGGTTCACCAGTCTATTTCCATGAGCCAACAATGAACCATGGGAGAGACCCCAAGTTCATCATCTCCTTCATAGGCCAGCTCTGTAACTTCACCTTGGCGACGCAGTGGCTGGGGCACGTATGGAGAACCAATGAGGGAAATTCCTAAAATTCTTAAGGTAAAATCAGTTTCAAAGAGGCTGATTCATATGTAGAATGTGTCAAAGACTATAATTTGACAGAAATATTCCAGAGGAAATCTGTCTTGCCAACTTGCCATCATGTAAGAAAAGTTATTTGGACTTGGGTTAAGCCAGAAGACACAAAGAAAGGGTTCATCTTCTAGTTCCTAATGCCAACATTCTCAGATCTTAAGTAGGATGAGTAGGGAGGAGGGGTGGCCATATTCAGAACAACAGTCTCATAATGGCCTAACGACGAGGTTGTCAAGACTACAAGCAGGGGCCTAAGCCAAGTAGCAAAGTGAAATTTGCCTCTGATTTGTCCAGATTCCTTTCTGGGCCTATCTGGCACAGTAGGTGAAATGCCCTTTATTTGCCCTACTCCATCCACCTATAGAAACCATCCACCAAGCCGGTACTCCAAACCAAGTTTCCCAACCAAGGAGCTTCTTTTTCTCCCCCATGTCCTCAGCAAGGCTGTACTTAGAATGGAAGCCAAGTTCACAAAAAATGTGATTATCCTGTAGGGCCTATGGGCTGAGTTGTCCAAAGAAGCATGTCTCCACTTTTAAAAAGAAGGACTGGGGCTGGGTGCAGTGGCTCATGCCTGTAATCCCAACATTTTGGGAGGCCAAGGCAGGTGGGCAGATAGCTTGAGTTCACGAGTTCATGACCAGCCTGAGAGACATAGCAAGAGCCCATCTCTATGAAAAATAGAAAAAAATTAGCCAGGTGTGGTGACGCACACCTGAAGTCCCAGCTACAAAGGAGGCTACGGTGGGAGGATCAACTGAGCCCAGGTCACAGCTGCAGTGAGCTGGGATAGCGCCACTCCACTGCAGCCTGGGTGACAGGGTAAGACCCTGTGTAAAAAAATTGAAAAAATTACTGGTACAAAAACAGGCACACAGACCAATAGAGCAGAATGGAGAGCCCAAAAATAAGGCTGCACATCTACAACCATCTGATCTTCAACAAAGCTGACAAAAACAAACAATGGGGAGAAAGACTCCCTATTCAATAATTGGTGCTGGGATAACCAGATAGCCATATGCAGAAGACTGAGGCTGGACCCATTCCTCACACCATATACAAAAATCAACTCAAGATGGATTGAAGACTTAAATGTAAAACCCCAAACTATAAAAACCTTAGAAGATAACCTAGGCAATACCATCCTTGACACAGAACCAGGCAAAGATTTCATAACAAAGATACCAAAAGCAATAGCAACAAAAGCAAAAATTGACAAGTGAGATCTATAACAATTAAACTTAAGAGCTTCTGCATAGCAAAAGAAACTGTCAATAGAGTAAATAGACATCCTACAGATTGGGAGAAGAAATCTGCAAACTATGCATCTGACAAAGGTCTAATATCCATTATCTATAAGGAACTTAAATTTACAAGAGAAAAACAACCCCATTAAAAAGTGGGCAAAGTACATGAATAGACACTTCTCAAAAAAAGACATACATGTGACCAACAAGCATAGCAAAAGAAGCTCAGTATCACTGATCATTAGAGAAATGCAAATCAAAACCACAATGAAATACAATCTCACACCAGTCAGAATGGCTATTATTAAAAGTAAAAAAAAGTAACAGGTGCTGGTAAGGTTGTAGAGAAAAGGGAACACTTATACACTGCTGGTGGGAGTGTAAATTACTTCAACCACTATGGAAAGGAGTATGATGATTCCTCAAAGAGCTAAAAGCAGAATTATCATTCGACGTAGCAATCTCATTATTGGGTATATACTCAGACAAATAAAAGCCATTCTGCCATAAAGACACACACATGTGAACATTCACTGTAGCACTATTCACAATAGCAAAGATGTAGAATCAACCTAAATGCCCATCAATGACAGATTAGATAAAGAAAATGCAGTATATATACACCATGGAATGTTATGTAGCCAAAAAAAAGAACCAGGTCATGTCTTTTGTGGGAACATGGATGTAGCTGGAGGCTATGATCCTCATCAAACTAACACAGGGACAGAAAATCAAATAGCACATGTTCTCACTTAAAAAGTGGAAGCTAAATGATGAGAACTTATGAACACAAAGAAGGAAATGACAGACACTGGGTTCTACCTGATGGGGGAGGGTAGAAGGAGGGAGAGGAACAGAAAAGACAATTACTATGTTCTGGGCTTAATACCTGGATGATGAAATAGTAAGTACAACAAACCCCCATGACATGTTTACATATGTAACAAACCTTAACATGTACCCCCAAACCTAAAATGAGAATTAAAAAAAGCTCACCATAAATAAATAAATAAATAAATGTTCAAAATATTCAGGAAAAAAAACAAAAAACTGAAAAAAATTGAGAAAAGAAAAATAAAAGAACTGATTTACTCAACTACAATATCTAAATGGTAGGATAACTGCTAGATGAAAAAGAAAAGTTTGCACTGATACATAACAAATTCATCATGGTGGCTTATTAATTATTTATATAATTTTAAAGTGTTTTTTAAACAAATTGCTAGACATTTTGCCAGAGGTGAGATGATTTCTCCAAGATGACTCTGTCTACTCAGGACTCATATTCCTACCTTCAACTGGTTTGTTGGAAAATCCATATACAATTTAGTATTTATAAAACTTTGCCAACTGCTATAATAATGGCAGCCACTGATATTATGTTGTTAATGAAGCGTGGACCAGGAGCCACAAATGCAATAGGAAACAGACATTAAATAAAAGTTGACGTCAGTCACCCAGGCCTCCCCGGTTCAAGGGAGATTTCATGGACCTCTATGATCCAAACTGAATGATCTTAGAGAACAGGCAGTGGGACAAAAGGGTGTTTTTTATGAACGGCTGGAGCTTTAAACTTTACCTAAAATACTTGGCTTCCTCCAAATAGTGCCTGGATAAATTGGGGATTTTCTTCAAGAGGAATTCTCTCTGAGGATAAGCTCTGATTATACAGTAAGTTTAAAATGAAGAGCACAATCATTCCTGTAGTTATTAGAGAGTATCATATCAAGGCCTGTCCCATTCTCCAATCTCAAAGAGAAAAATGACAAAAAGACATGTCCAAACATGTCCTCAAAGACCTGTAGTAGTTTTACTTAGGCATCTTAGACACTGAAGCTCTTAGAAGGGCTTTTGGTATGGAAAGTAACCACCTAAGTAAGTTTTTTAGAAGACTTTTTTATGCTTTAAGACTACAGCTAGTAAGCCATAAGTACAACTCATTACAATTTCAAATGGCAAGGGGTTAATTCTTGGAAGACCATGGTACAAGGAAGGCAACTGTGCGAGCTGAATTATCTCAAAACAAGGACTGTACCATGTGGAGGGCCTGGTTTCCAGATTTGTGTTTCTAAAGACTAGAATGCTGAAAGAAACAAAAGGCCCAAACTTACACAAACCCCACATGCTCACAGACTGGCAACTCTTAATTCCCAGGCACGCTGACTCACCAGTGTTTGCTGCTCAGCTCCTGCTGCTGAGGGAGGAATGGGCACCCAGTGAGATAAGAGGATTTCCTGGCCTCCATCTGACCCACCTACCCCAGGCCATTCACCCTGCCCCCACTGGGCAGATGCTTCATCATAGCAGCTTCCTCCAAATCCTGGTGCCAAGGCCTTCAGGTAGGGACAGAACAGATGGGGCTCTCAAAGAGGCCCTAATCCCATTTAGCCAACTGCCCCTCCATGAAAGAGCATCTTTTGATTGCCTGACACAGCAGAACCAGCTGAAACCTGAAAGCTTTTAACATGCCCAGCAGATGAAAAAAAGGAGAAGAAAATCAGTTCCAACAGATGATCAATCAGCAAATGCCAGAAAGTTGGATCCTTCTTCCATTCTGGTCCCTGTCTTTGAAATGCCCCCATTCCACTGAGTGTTGAGGCGAGTGGTGGTCTAAAGCCCGAAGAAAATATCTCTAGATCTGATGAGTATGGTCCCCTGATTACTCTGATTACTGCCCAATGGTCTACCTTCTTCTGTGTCTACCCCCTTCTCTGGGAAAATACTTTTGCTCTCCCAGAGCTTTCCTCAGGTTCAATCACAGTGCCCAGCCCTGTGGCCCAGGCTGGCAGTACTTCAAGTGTTTTAAAGTTGAAGGTCTCCCCTAGACTAACTAGCTGATGGCTAACAGCTAATAATAGCAGTCATCAATTATTGAGCACTTGATACGGTGCCAGGCACTATGCTGAGCAATTTTAGGGACATGAACTCACATATACTCATCATAACCCCATTTAAAAACAAGGAAACTGAGGCTGAGGAAAATAAATTACCCAAGATCACATGTCTGGCTCAAGAAACCATGACATTTACCCCTAGGCTAGATTGCTGAGCCCACCCACAGCACAGCACCTAGAGAGAAAACACGACAGATAGGCCCCAAGTTCAGGAATGACACCACAGCAACCCCAGAGCAGCAAATCTCACCATCAGCCACTGGAGAGAGAACACACGTCTGTGCTTGGTGCTCAAGAAGGATCTCCTACTCACTGCCCTCTCCCCAGCACAGCCCTTCTGCCACGATCCAGGCAGGCACCACGTGGCTGGGCTCAACCCTACCAGATGTGGAAACTAGAATTAGTCCAGATGCCCTAAACCTGTGATGTTTTAGTCCACCAGCACGGTTAAAAGCTCCAGCTCTGAAAAGGAAGGCCAACTGCACCACTGGCTAATTGTTTGACCCTAATGGGAGCCTGAATTTCCACAATCTGCAAAATGGTATCTGCCTGATGGAGCTCTTGAAAGAATTCAGTGAGGAAATGCAGATAAAAGGTACAAGGCTTCAGAGAAAACACTTGATATAACAGCCGTTACTGTACTACTAGTAGTAGCAGCCCAGTAGCATCTGGTTAGCCTGTTAGAAGTCCCAACTTATCCCCTCCGAACAATGGGCTCCAGGCCTCAGATTCCACAGGCGCAACCAGGACTTCCTGCCCCTGCACTGAGTCACTGGCCCAGGGCTTGTTCCAAAACCGATTCTCTTACCACAGTACTGATCCTACTCAAATACACCACTACCCAGAAATGCTTGTAGGATCAGACTCTCCGCAACACAGGATTTCCTTGTGATTGATCCTGAATAAAATTAAGCGGAGAATCTGCTCTGCCCAATGGACACTGAATTGCTGGTCATGCCCCGACCCTAACCTGGAGCAGGCTTTCAGCCAGTTCCAAACTCCTTCCCCTCTCCACTTGGTCCCAGCTCTGTAGATCTACAGAAGAAAGGACGTCTAGATTTCTATGCAGTTGCTAATTTAATGGACTGTCTTCCCAGTTGGTCCTCTTCTCTTATCACTGCCACCTCTGAAGTGGTCAGCCTCAGCACAATCAGGACACCTGGCACCAAGTTTCCAGCAGCAACAGAGCATTATTATTCATGAATATCATTTTGTATTTGTTAGTACGTTATGAAAGCTATATACAAACATATCTCTGTGAAGCAATTACCCCCATTTTACAGGAAACTAAACGAATGGAGACACACCAAGGTCAAGGAGCCTATCTAGGAATGGAGGAAACAGGAGCGCAGTGATGAAAAGGATGAGCTCAGACAAACCAGGACAAAGCATTGCCATTGCCATGGCAATCTCACCAAAGAACTGGAACTGTCCACATGGAACTTTAAAACAGGGCAGCTGTACCTCAAAGCACTATTGGGCAAAATAAATGAAATAATGCATGTAAATACTCTGCTCAATACCTGACTCACAGAAAGCATTTGGTTGGTAAGTATTAGCCTTCTATAATAGTTATGATTATTGTCACAACGTCGGTGACAGAATCAAGTCTCACTTCTCCTAGAATGGTGCTCTTTGCAGGAGCCAGCCCAGATCTCCCGTGGCGATTCAGATCTGCTCACAGTAAGTGATCATTCTCCTGATTCAGCAAGGGGCACAAATGGGTTGAATGGAGCCAAAGACAAGGAGGGATACGGAGAAAGAAAAGGCAGAAAAAAGAAGGGAAAAAAACCCCACAAACTGGGGAAACCTACTTCTAGGCTTTTTTTCTTTTCTACTTAGAGCTTTGAGTGTTTACCTGAAAGACCAAAGACAGCAGTTCTGCTTAGCTTCTGCTGGACCAAAATCAGCCTCCAGCTTCTCTCCCTCAGTCTCAGCCCAGCTGCTCTGGCTCTCCCTCCCTCCTCTGCACATCAGCCTCCAGACTCTTTCCTCCTCTGTGCTGGCACTGGCCACTGTTCCTGGGGATGGGCTTGGCTGGCTGCCTGGCCCTAGGCCTGGAGCGGCCACTGCTGGGCCCAAAGGGCAATCCCAGAGGCCGTAGTCCCTGTGTTGCTCTAGCTCCAAAGAGGGATCAGGAAATTGCTTCTAACTCCTAGGCAGATCATGAAATGTCAACCGGGCAAGTCCCTGTCTTCTAGGGGCTTAACCTCAACTGCCTCTTATAGAAGAGAACCACCACAGAGGGCAAACCCACACTGAGACTGTGCAAATGCAGACAGGAGAAGAAGACAGAAGTGTGAACTACTCTAACAGAAAGAAAGGGGGAGAGGGACTGAGGAAGTGAAATCAGCATCTGTGGAGCCTGGGGCTACATGCTTCACATTCATCATCACCTTCAAACCTCACAGCAACCTCAAGAAATGAGCTGTTGCAGCTTTGATAGATTAGGAAACAGGTCTCTTAACTACTAAGCAGTAAGACTGGAAAATAAAACAAGTCTGCCAGACTTTCCATGGGGAAGTTTCAGAGAGAAGGCAGGTCTTATTCTGGTCCTTAAATGTCTATAAGCATGATATGAAAGGAAGGAGGGAGAGGGCTGATATGGTTGGCTCATGTCATTAATGTATATTAATAACAATATTATAAAAATAATTATATTAGTAAGGTTTTCAAAATGGGAACAAGATCAAAAAATAAAAAATAAATAAAATTACATATATCTATTGACATGAATTTTCATGTTTAAAAATAAAAAATAAATAAATTACATATATCTATTGACATGAATTTTCATGTTTAATCCATGACTCTATAAGGAAAATAATATAATCTTCATTTTACAGAGGGAGGAAGTGAATGGAGCTTAAGGGAGGTGGCCTGGGGTCACATAGTCAATCTGTGGAGGAGAAGGGTTCAAATCCAGGCAGTCTGACTCTAAACTGGCCACTTTCCATCACTGGTCTCACTACTGTTCTCTGCTATGATGTGTGCCAGGATATACCCCTACCCCTAAGGAGGTACCGATGCCCCAAGAAGAAAATGTCCAACATTCTATCAGCGCCTAAGTATGTTCCTGAGGAACCAAGTCAATAGGAACAGAGTACACCCCCAGGAAGCCTTTGATTCTGGTTTGGAATCCCCCTGAACAACGTGTGCTCTCAAGCAAGTCACTTAACCTCTCTGAGTTTCTGTGACCCAACATTAAAGTGAGGGGTCTGGGTTAGTCTTTCCAAGGTCTAATATTCTACCATCACCTTTTTTGGCATTCAAATTTAGGCCAAAGTTCTAAATTTGCAACCCTCCTGAGGACAGGCACTTTGCCTCCTTGGTGAACTGATCTCACATTTCTCCTTGCCCAAGACTGTAAGAGTTAAAGAAAAAGCAGAAGTCCAAAAGCAGAGGGAAAGCAGGGCTACTCCAATCTGAACAAGGGGTGATAGAAAACACTGGTTTTGCAGCCTTCCCTCTCCTTAATCATCTTAGTTTGATCTCTGCAGAGTCAGTAATAGGCCCAGACATGGAAAACAGAGCCACGCAAACTGACTGCTGGAGCTGGCTGGGTCAGGAAGCCCACTCAGAGGAATGCCATGTTGGCTACTGATGGGCAGCCTGTCACCCAGGAACAGACTTGTGAAATGAGGAGCTAAAAAAACAGGAGGCAAATGCTGGCACCAAAAGTCAGTGTCAGCAAGGCACTTGAGATCTGCTCTGAGCTTCCTTGACAGAAGGATCCAATCCATTCCACTCCTCCATTCTGTTCCCATCTAGAGTCTATTGAGCAGCAAGAAACCATGCTGGTGCTCCTACATATTAGCAACATGAAAAAATCCATCTTTTCAACTTTTATCCAAATACTTTGTAGAGCTAGCTGGGTATATGTTTTTATTTCTTCCTACATATGCCAGATACCCAAAGGCCAGAGAACATGAGTACATGAATTCCTCAGACAGCTTTTCTACAGCTGCCAGGGGCTGAAGCGGCTGTACTGGCACAGCCATCCTCCAGAGAGTCTTAAGGCAAGACCACAGGAGCCCCTTGATCCCACCTGTCAGCCACAGACTCCAAATGACCTGAGAAAAAAGATGGAATATGGATGGTGTCCATTTGTAAACTACTTCCTAGAAAGTAAACGTGCAGAAATAACAAGGCAAGATTGAGAGAACACTGTAAATGCAGAGTTCCAACTTAGGACTGCTGCCACTTCCAACTTAGGACTAAAAGATCACCTTTGGAGATTAGGTCTTACCCAGAGCCACTTGGGACGGAAAGCCGTTCCCTCTGCCAAAGCAAACTAGACCCGTCTGCTTCTACTTTCCAGCTTTTAAAAGACTTTTTGTCCTAAAATGTACTGCAGCAACAAGCTAAGACAGCAGTTCCAGTTAGGGCTGGGGAGGAATCCATGACTTTTTACATCAACCAGTCTCAACAGTGCAAAAGAAAAGCGGGAGGAAGGAAAAGAGAAAAGGGGATAGGGAGGACAGAGAAAACTTTTAAAAACTGGCTGTATTTCTATAAAAGTCATCTTAGATCACATGACTAAGACCAGCCAGTTTAGCATAAAGTCTCTTTGAAAATGTTCTCACTGTTCCTTACGTTGTACCCTTTGAATGCACTACTAAGAATATATGTCCAATTGAATGAAGCCAGTGTGAGCTGGCTAGAACAAATGCCTACTTGCCAAACACAGGCAAGCCAACACATACTATAAAGTTTCCAAATACCAAATAATGAACCATTTTTTTTGGTCTCTGGGCTTCTGAACTGAGCTACATGTTTAACCCCACATAACTCAAAATAACCAAAAAAGGGCCATATCATATCACTGACTCACACTTGAAATATTTTTTGCTGTCACTATTGATCTGGGCACTTCTAACTACCCACTTATGTGCTGGGGGGGGCATCATTAAGAGGCATCAAATTTCTAGGTTGGTCACTCTTTGTTTTCACATCAGCTTTTCCAGTTACTTACCCTGTTTAAAAGCAGAAGGCTGTCTTGGATTTGTGCTGCACGGTACTCTAATAAAAACGGCACGCCTGCTGCATGCTTCATCTCCGGTGGTAAGCTTGCAGCTTGTTTTATTTCTTAGGATGGAGCCTCATTAGACCCCACTGAAAGTAAACCACTGATTAGCACTAATTCCCTCCTTCCAGTCAGCATACTGATACCAGCCACCCTGGAGGTTCACCTGATTGTAGCTGATTAGTCCTCAGAACAGCCAATTACCACATCAACTGCTCATTTTTTAGTCACCTTCTGAGAACTTGGGAGTCAGCAACTGATTGAAAATTAGTGAACTGGAGATAAGGTTAGATTTGGGCATATAAGTAAAAGGCGAGAAGGAAATTGTAAAATGAGTCCAAAGACAAGGAAGGAACACAATATACAGATCATAAATGACTACATCCAAATGTCTTAAAGGGCACCTGGATGACCACAAATGTAGAGATGTGGTTTCTAGATCCAATGGCCTCTTAGTAGGCATCAGGTTCACCGTGTGGTAACCAAGTAATCTCCTAATGTTTGCTAATTCTTTAAAAAAAAAAAAAAAAAAATCTAAATCCATTAAGACCACATTTATCAGCTTTCTCCTAGAGGTCCCATGATGGAGACTGACTGCTAATGCCTAATAGTAGACAGGAAGAGGAAGAAGGAGAGAAAAGACCCATACAATAAAAGAATTCCTGCTTTCAACCACATCAGTAACCTGGTCAGAAAAGTGACGTCACCAGGCTCTTTCCTGCTGGCAAATTCAAAAGTATGACATAATTATCTTGTGAAGTTTAGAGAGTATAGAGACACATAAAGATAAAGTCAACCACTAATTTCACCACCTACGGTTAATGTTTTGTAGTATATCCTTTCATTCTTTTATGTAAGCACATACAGATGGTACATATAAATTAATACACATACAGGCACACATTACACACACAAAACTTCGAAAAACAATGGAGTTTATATTATACATCCTATTTTGCAACTTTTCCACTGAACACTTTTTTAGAAAAATCTTTCCCTCTCATAAAATCTTTACCCACAAACTGTATACCCTACTAGTCAGTCAGTCAAAAATGTGGGTGCTACACTGCAGGGGTCAGGAGAAACAAGCTGAGACTCTCTGTGTTGAAACATTTTTAATAGTCAGACGTCTTCTGTTGATGTGGGTACCATTTAGTGTAATCTCTTACCGTTGGACATTTAGCCTGCTTCCAATAGTTCACTATTATAAACAATACTGGGATAGGCTGAGCACAGTGGCTCATACCAGTAATCCCTGCACTTTGGGAGGCCAAAGAGGGCAGATCACTTGAGGCCAGAAGTTCAACACCAGCCTGGCCAACATGGCAAAACCCTGTCTCTACTAAAAATACAAAAATTAGCCGGTAATTTTTGTGATAATGAGTGGTAATACGAGCTTCTAATCCCAGCTACTCAGGAGGCTGAGGCACAAGAATCACTAGAACCCAGGAGGTGGAGGATGCAGTGAGCCAAGATCATGCCACTGCACTCCAGCCTGGGGCACAGAGAGACCCGCCTTGAAAAAAAAAAAATACTGGGATAATAAATATAATATGCAGCTAAAACTCAGCATGTTTACAATTATTTCCTGAGAACTGATGGATCAAAGGATATGGAAAGAAAATTACATATAGAGTCAATTTGACTTCCAAAAATGTAGTGTCAAGTTATTCTGGCAGGGTATTGGGAGTGCATATCTCTCTCAAAATCTACTTGTAATATTTACCAACTAATTCAATTTATTCAAAGAAAAAAATCCTTGCCAAAAGGACATAAGACTTTATATTTAAGAAAAAACAAACTGTCAAAGAAGGACAGAAGACAGGTAAAGAAAGAGATCACTTACTTCGCCGAGAATCATGTCAAAAAGGCTAGCCAATCCAATGTGTCTGGCTCCAAGGATTTTAAGAAAATGTTGCTAAATAATGGGGGAATGGGGAGAAAAAGAATTTAATCCAAGAACATCTTTCACTTATATCTAAATTTCCTCAATTTATTCTTTCAAAAGAAGATCAACTTCTCCCTCACATGCCCACCAAGAAAAAGAAAAGGACAAAGATGATGACCATCTTAAGTCTGAGTAACAGTCGCCTTATCAAAGGCTTAACATCAGGGGTAGAAGGGTCTGGCCCATGGATTGAGTGATTCACATTCCCAGGAAGCAAGAGGCTCATTCAAAAGAGAAATGTGGACAGACAATGCCTGGAAATGGTTTGATTTAGTGTGGAGACTAACATGGGCTTTCAAGCTGCAGACTGGGTCACAGGACAAATTTGTAACAAACGTGTCTGCCTTTCCAGCATCCAGGCTCTTCATCAGGTGATTATCCAATTTTCACCAGCAGATCCTTCTCCTTCGCTCTCAGCCACCAAATGGCTGGGTGGGGTTCGTAAAAAACTATGGGACTCACGCCCACCAAGGCCTCACATGCATCTGGCTTTAATGATTGGATCTAGGATACGCCCATGACAAGCCGGCCAGGGAGGATCTGAAAACACAGGACCATCCTGGCCAACATGGTGAAACCCTGTCTCTACTAAAAATACAAAAATTAACTGGGCATGGTGGCACACACCTGTAGTCCCAGCTACTCGGGAGGCTGAGGCAGGAGAATCACTTGAACCC